ATTCATTGATATTTCATAGCGTGAGCGGGGACGCAGCCTACCGTCCTGAAGTCTTCAAAATGTCCGACTGGATAGCCCAGCAATTCAAAGCCGTCGGCGTCGAGATTCATCAAGTCGATCTGGGACACCATGTCATGGATGGGCACAAGCTTGAGCTCCCCAAGGCAGTTCTTGGACGTCTGGGAAATGATCCAAACAAGAAGACGGTGAATCAGGTTAAACCATCAACTCAAAACTAAACACTGAAGCAGGAATAGGTGCTTGTGTACGGACATTTTGACGTTCAGCCGGTCTGTAAATACTTTCAATTGCCGAATTTGTATGTACATTAATGCAGAATCTCTAGGCAAACTTATCCGACGGTTGGAATACTGACCCCTTCACATTAACTGTTCAACCTAATGGGCAGCTCGTCGGTCGGGGCTCATCAGATGACAAGGGACCAGTTCTGGGATGGTTAAATGTTCTGCAATACCATTACGATAACAAGAAGGAGCTTCCAGTCAACTTCCGATGCTGTTTCGAGGGTATGGAAGAGAATGGCAGCGAAGGTTTGGACGAGCTTGTCCAGAGGGAATCAAAGCCTGGAGGTTTCTTCGATGGCGTAGGATGCGTCTGTATTGTAAGTATTCTTGTTCCTGCAGAATACGCCCGTTTCAACCCCGGCCTCTAGTCTGACAACTACTGGTTGAATACGCGTACTCCAGTTTTGACTTATGGTCTTCGAGGACTCGCTTACTATAAACTCAACGTCTCTGGCCCTGCTCGAGATTTGCACTCTGGTGTTTTTGGACGCACAGTACACGAGCCTATGACGGATCTTATCAGGCTTATGAATACTCTCGTTGACGTGAACGGGAAAATTCTCATTCCTGGTGTAGATGATATGGTGGTGACTGCGGATGTGGAAGAACGGTAAGTTTTTTGAGCGCTTCCTCTTGACCCTTATTGATATACTTTATGTAGCAAATTGTACGAGGTCCTGGATTACAGTATACAAGATGTCGAAGCATCTGCTGGTGCACCTATCGCTCTATCCTCAGACAAGGTCGAGGTTTTGATGGGCCGAATGAGGATGCCCAGCTTATCCTTGCATGGAATTGAAGGTGCCTTCTATGGTCCCGGGGCAAAAACGGTCATTCCTGCCAAAGTGTCAGGCAAATTCAGTATCCGGTATTGGTCATCGTCCATCTCTTGTTGGTCGAAGTTTCTCAGCCGTTTCTTTTAGATTGGTCCCACCACAAACACCGGAGAATATTCTTCCTTTGGTGAAAGCCCATGTTGAATCCGAATTCGCCAAGCTCGGATCGAAGAACAAATTTGAGTTAGAGGAGCTGCATGGCGGGAAGCCTTGGGTGACGGACATCAATCACTGGAACTTCCAAGCTGCCAGAGCCGCTACGAGGGTATGCAACCTTCCCATCTAATCTTTTTAACCTCTGCCTCACACACTCTTATTTTTTTAGGCTGTTTACAACCAGGAACCTGATATGACGCGCGAGGGAGGATCTATTCCTGTCACGCTCACGTTCGCTGAAGCTCTCGGTGTGAACGTTTTGTTACTCCCCATGGGTCGAGGTGATGACGGAGCTCAGTAAGTGCACTGTCGCTGCCCCCTAGATGTACTAATTGTCACTCTCTAGCTCTACGAATGAGAAACTCGACCGGTCAAACTTCATTGAGGGGGTAGGTTTTCAAACTATGGAATCAAGGGTACGATCTAATGCTCCTTTTCAGACCAAACTTCTCGGCACGTACTTGTACGAAGTCGCCGCCGTCACCGCATAGTGAGTTGGACAACATTGGACAGGTTACTGTACAGTATGAACTTCTTGACCACTTTTGTAAACAAAACAACGCATGTAGGTGTAAATGTATCGGAATCACCCAGAATCTCTTCAACATCCGTAGTGCATAAGTTAGTACTCGCTCCGCTGGAAGAATCTGCACCCAAGATGTTCAAGACACCCTGTATCACACTCGTCCTTGGTTTTTCATAGAAATATATCTAAGTAAGGCACCTATATTTTACCGTTTTTCTGGTCCAAATTCGTGACCACTAGCGTCGGAATCTGTTTCTGCTTTCTGAGGTCAGGTTCACAAATTTATACAAGCGTTCGAGCTTGAACGATTTTAGAAAACCCTTCGGATGAGCCTAATTATACTCGTATAATTCCTGTGGGTCCTTACTACGAGAGCATAAGAACCGAACTGGCTAGCTGGAAAGTGGACCAGTAATTGGGTGCAAGCTCCAGGTAGAATCTTGTTGCTTCACCGAATTTTTATTTTATTTTTCAAAAGAGACAAGGTTCATCAGCGATTATACAGCTAGCCCAGATATTCTACACACGGTGTTTTAGTTTCGTTGGTGCGACACCGGCAAGGGCAAATTTAAACTGTTCAACACTGAGATAAGATTACCGATTAGATACTGATACTGATAAGATGGTGGAAAGCTTCCGTGGCCAGTCAATCTTATCAGCTCGGAAGATTTCCGAATGCCCACATATATATAACAGACGTTCTGGTTGTTTCTTCCGATCCCTCAACAAGTAGCTTGTCATCTACGCCTTTATATGAACTCTGAATCATACTTTTGAATCCTCTTTCAACAATGAGTAGCAATTCCGAGACGACTTCCTCTCAACCTGGAATGAATGGCCCTCCACGCAGCGAACAGCCCCTGGACAAAAAAGAACCATACAGTATCTATACGAAGAATGAGAAATGGTTTATCGTTCTGCTAATTGCAATTTCCGGCTTATTCAGGTGGACTCTCTTTACATATTCCGCAGAAATATCGCTGATTTAATGCATGCCCGCAGCCCACTCACTACGAACGTATATTGTGTGTACATCAGCTTAACATTGCAATTTGTACGCGATTGAACGTGATATCTTTTCTTCATGTTTCCAGTTCCAGCTATACCCACAATCGCAGACGCATTCCATAAATCTACAGAATTAATTAATCTTACAGTTGCGTTTTCGCCACCACTAATTTTGCTGGGCTCTATCTCAAAGCGCTTGCAATCTCTTTAGGTGACGATGTACATGATCTTTCAAGGAGTATGTGAGTATATCAGAAGAGGCCTCGCGTTAATTTGCTCAATAACAAATCTTCATCTTTCGATGAATCCAACAGCGCCAATGTTATTTGGAACATTAGCAGATAATGTGGATATATCTATTTGTCGCATTCTAGAGCATCTATTGACGAGGGCACTATGCCATTAGGTCGGAAGGCGAATGATATACGCCTCCTGTCTCCTCATCTTATGTCTAACTTGCGTCGGTTTGGCTCTGACCCCGACATCGGCATATTGGCTTCTTCTCGTGCTAAGATGCCTGCAATCTACTGGCTCTGCAAGTACTATCGCGCTAGGTAAAAGTTCATCTATTTCGCCAATTTAATTCAGCCCCGCTTATGCGAAATATGTCGCCTTGCTTCATTTATTTTCTTTGTACCTTTGTTGCGTATCGCATTATCCTGTAGGTGCTGGTGTTATTGGAGACATATCTGAGGCACACGAGAGGGGTGGATTCTTCGGAGTATATCAAAGTGGACCACTGGTCAGTATGCTGCCTGACAGACTCTAAGGTTATCGGGTTCAAAGAATTTTTTAGCTTGCACCAGCAATTGGACCCGTTATCGGAGGTGCTCTAGCCGGAACATTAGGCTGGAGGTATGTTGCATTTTTTTTTTTCTTTTGAGACACATGTTCAGAATCTACGTTCATAGGTCCATATTCTGGTTCTTATGTATTTCCGCTGGAGTTGCATTTCTAGTAATCATTATGTACGACCCAATATCGCGCATGGAATTGCCGGTCACTTACTTGAATTTGTAGCTTCCTCCCGGAGACCCTTAGGTCAATTGTGGGCAATGGGAGCCTCTCAACCTCGGTCATTCACCGCCCACTGATTCCCGTGGTCGGTAGAGGCAGGGCTGAGACTGTTAAACTAGATTCTTCTTCACCTCATTACCGCAAAAATAGAAAGTTTCAAATGAAAAACCCATTCGCTATTCTCAAAAACCTCGATATCACCCTTATACTCTTTTTTAACGGCACTGTCAGTGCAGTATATTACGCCGTCACTGCAACAATCTCGACCCTATTTGCGGAAGCGTATCCATTTCTTTCGGAGACGCAAGTGGGGTTGTGTTTCTTGAGCATCGGGGGAGGGATGTTCCTTGGCAGCTTGTCTTCCGGGCGAATTTTGGATGGGGAGTTTCAGAGAATACAGAGAGAAGTGGACAGGAAGCGCAAGACCGAAGCTGGAGGTGTTGAGAAACAGAAGACGGGCAAGTATGATGCCGACTATCCAATAGAAAAGGTGAGATGTCATTTGTAGTGTGTTCTTTCGCAATTTAACATGATGCGCGAAGGCTCGTCTTCGTTTGGTGCCATTATTCATGATCCTTTTCATTGGAGCGAATTTGGGATATGGTTGGTGCATTCAACGCCAAGTGAATATCAGTGGACCACTCATCTTACAGTTCATCGGTGCGTGCACTTCGATTTTCCCGCTTCCGATCAACTGAATGCTTTGTTTTTATGCTACAGTTGGATATACTGCCATCATTGTACTGAATGCTTCCGCAACATTTGTGGTTGACTTGATGCCAGCTCAAAGTTCATCTGTATCCGCTTGCGTGCGTGGGTTTTTAGAAAATAGCCTGGACAATATAATGAAATTTGACATTCTCTCAATCTAGAATAATCTGTTTCGAGGGACGCTCGGAGCTCTCCTTGTGTCAGTCATTGACCTTATTGCGAACGCCCTCAGCCCAGGGTGGACATTTGTCCTTTTAGGGTGTATTTGCGCTGCACTGACCCCGATTGTGTATGTGGTCATTAAGATTGGGCCAAGGTGGAGGAAAAAGAGGACGCGAACCGAAGTAAAAAATATGTAGAAGCAGAGCTCAAAAGTAATTATACTGGGAATAGGTAGAGTTTAGGTAATTTGATCAAAACATCTCTTTCTCAGAGAAAAAATGACCACCGCAGGGGTCGAACCTGCAATCTCCTGATTTAACGATTACATAATCGTAGTCAGACGCGATGCCATTTCGCCAGGCGGCCGTTAAAATTGGTATCTCATATTCATTAATGAACTTACAACGAAGCGAGTGAATCCCTTACACAAGTAAAACACATATTTCCATACAAAGTACATACACATCTACTCTACAATACTCCCGCACCTCACCGACCATAGTAACCTCCATAATTCTGTTGAGGCGGAGGCGGGAACCCTTGATATTGTTGTGGTGGAGGAGGGGAAGTCCCTTGATACTGTTGTTGCTGCGTCGTACGAGAGGATGCAGGAGAACCATATCCTCCATATCCTCCCTGACCCGGCGGCGCAGAAGGAGGTGGAGGTGGGAATCCTCCATATCCAGGTTGGGGTTGTTGGTAATTTTGCTGGTATGCCGGCTGCTGTGACGGTGGCTGAGGCGCAGACGGAGCAGACGGAGCAGACGGAGCAGCGTATGAATACTGATGATATTGTGAAGAAGGTGGCGGGAGCGGCGGAGACTTTGTCGCGGAAGGCGCAGAATCCACTCCAAATATACCTAAACTGGCATATGGATCGGGCGGGGGTGACATCATCGCGGGTGGAGATGGAGACGAGTAGGCGGTACCTGCACCAGCGCTACCATAGAAATGAGGTTGGTATGACTGCGAAGATTGCGATACGGAAGGTGGAGGCGGAGGTAAATACGACGATTGCGATTGATGATGGCGTTGGGGAGGAGGTAATCCTGAGACCGGTCCTGAACTCAGAGAAGAATATGAGTACGGATTAGAATGGGAGTGGGACGGCGGTTGTGACGGCGGTGGAGGGGGATAAGACTGTTGTCGCTGATTAACGGCGGGTGACGAGGAACTTCCCAGATTCATTGATGCCATAGAAGAGCTCAAACCCAGACCGTTAGCTGAGGACGGGGGTGGGGGAGGCAAGGGAGGGGCTGCTCCCGAAGCTCCTTTGGTGCCTGAGACAGGCGAAGCAGGAGAAAGTGCAGACAGCCTCTTTTCGACTTCGAATTGCTTCACCAGTGTATCTCTTTCGTCTGTCCTCTTCTTGACATAGTCGCCCACACTCTGCTTGAGCGTGTCTGTCAGCGACGTAAGTTCAGAGTAAAAGTTGAGGCCTTTGCTACAAGTAGAACAGGAGTCGTGAGTACAAACGAGCGAGTGAAGTAGATAAAGACTTACGCTAGGCCATCCCTAACTTCCATATATCCCTCTCTAACTCTCTCAAACCTCTCAACTGTCTCCTTCTTACGTTTTTCACGTTCTTCCCATTTGCGGAAAAACCCTCCTCGGCCTTTACTGGCACTCGTTAAACGTTTCCATAGTCCAGCGATCTCCTGCAGACATGCTTCCTGATGATGTACCGTTGTACCTATTCGCTGTTGGAATGGCCGAAACTTTTCCAACTCAGATGCGAAGAGCGCCGGTTCGACGGAGGAGTTGCGCCTGTTGAGGAGAAGCAGATGGGAGACATCGTCCGTTTGGATCTGTGTATAATAACTAATTGTTAGGCTGAAATTGAGCAATGAGGACGACGCGAACCTTCTCCTTCAAATCCTTCAAAATTTCCCCCCTCTCCCTCGAGATCTTATTCATCCTCCCTAGACGCTCTTCAATCTCTGCCACCATTTCACCTATTCTGGCTCTTTCTTCTCTCTCCGCATCTCCGTCCGCCCCATCCACAAGATCCAACAAACTTTCCTGGGTGCCTCCTGGGCCACCGGAGGAGGATGCAGCTCTTCTAAATACCTCTTCCAGCTCATCGTTCCCATTGATCAGCAGTCCGATATCACCCTTCACAGCCTCCCATAGCTGTATCACTTGTACATCCGATTTGGCTGCAGCCTCCAATGTCCCCATATGGCTCTTCAGCTCTTCCCTCATGCCTCGGGTGAATCCGGCCGAAGGATCTTGAGTCCACCTTTCCTGATACTTGACCCTCATCATTTCACACTGATGAGATTCAGTCTCGAGCTGAGCGGAGATGTTCTCCAGTTCCTTCTTCACTGCGGCTTTTCTGGACGACAATTGGCCAAGAAGGGTGGTAACAGGCTCCCGAGACTCGATGAGTGAAATATCTTCCTTCCACCTGTGAACCTGAAGAGGAATCTCATCCTCTCCATCAGCCTCTCCCTCAGCCATGGCACGGAACTTGGCCAGTCCTTCTTTGACACCCATCCCATCCAAAGCCGCCCTGGCCTCGGACTCTGCCTTCTCCGCCCTCTCCACTTCCCCCCGAGCGAGCTTGGCCTTTTCCTCTGAATACACGGAGGCACTCTCGTGGACACTGAGAGGTATGAGTCTGAGAAATATGTCTTGTCCGATTGTTTTCTGTACTTCCGGCGTGCCATAAACCTCTTGTATAGGGATAGGCACAGCAACGGAAAGTTGCTCTACAACTGGGAGAGAATCAGCGTTGGGCAAGATCGCGTTGTATATCAGATCATTCTCGCGTTGAGCTTCGGTTTTTCGATCGGTGCACAACGACAGGTGGGCTTTGAGACGTTCGACGAGGGAGGAGCCTGCATCCGGTGGAAATGTAGGGGAAAGTGTTGGATTGAAGGCAGAGTTGAACGTGGACGCGAGACGGGAAGCCTCTTTGGCGTTGGTTTCGGCAATATTGTATCGGACTAAGGCTTCACCGTGTTTTCCAGCGGCATTATCAGCTTGTGCACGGTAGTAGTTGGTGAGAGAAGTAAAGTATTTGGCTTTGACCTAATTGAACTTAGCAGGAGAAAAGAGTCGAGATTATCGAAATACCTGTATCAGCGTCACCCAATTCCTATCAAATATTCCTTTACCCATGAATTCTTTGACCTGTTCCGCAAGCGCTGTATACATCGATGCCGCCTGAGAACCAACTTTTGATACCAAAGCCGCCCCCTTCTTCTCTTCGGTACATTTCTCAAAGAAAATTTCGGTTGCTTGAGCCAGAATGACAGCTACAAGAAACTTGATCACCTCCCGACTCAAATCCGTAGACGGGGCGTGTAAGAAGTTATCATTGATATACGACAACATTCCAGCACAACTCTTGAAGTAGTAGAATGCCCGTTTCAAGCCTTCTGGGTCGCTGCGGGACTGAGATGAAGCCAAGGCAGAATGAACGCTAGCAATTTGAAACAAGATGCTGGCTTTCTCAAATGCAATGGATGTTTGGGTTGTCAGTTTGTTGGTAAATGCGTCCCGCCAGGGAAACGTGACTCGGATTTCAGAGAAGCGCAGCTCAAGGAGTTCCAGCTGGCCGAAATACTTGTACAATAAATCTCTGGCTAAAGATGTACTTCATCGGAAAAAGAATCTAATCCATCTCTGGAGCAGACTTACCAGTCGTGTCACTTCCTGCACCTCGTACAGCATCCTGTCGACATCTCTGTAGAGCAGCACATTCAGCGGCATAATTATCTGGACTTTCTCCGTATGATTGAGCGATAAGTTTGCGAATTGGAGTTGTCCAGTCAACTTCGTCCGTTGATTTTCGAGGAATGGCCATCATTGGCGATTGGTGCGCCATGATGGAAGAGAGAAAGATGAAGAATATCAGCAATGACACTGACAGAGGCTGCGTAGTGCATTCCTGCCACAAGGCGGGCCGGGCACGTGATTAAATGGCTCACTCACATACTTTAAGTTACCTTTCAATCCGCATCTCGAGCGACCAGAACGCAAGCAATATGCTGGGTCAGTCTTAGACGATGAATTCACCTGCACGATCCGTAATAGGTTCGTCTGGGAGTTTGCTGCGCGAACTGACATGGCCGCCTGGCGAAATGGCATCGCGTCTGACTACGATTATGTAATCCATTAATCAGGAGATTGCAGGTTCGACCCCTGCGGTGGTCATAAGCTTTTATTTTTCAGTTCACTTTTTGCTTGTCCCATGTATACGAGTGAAAAGACAGCAGGGCAACAGTAGGGTAACAGCAGGGTATCACTTTGAACAATTTATACATTATTGGGCTTGGGCGCCTAACATGCACAAAGGGCGCCTACAACGACTGACCTGGTTATTTCTTTTTCTTCCAAGCGTCCATCATGTCTTCCTCCAAAACAACGTCCAGTGAGGACATCCTCGGTCAGAAAGTAACTCTTCTACTCTACTAATGTTGTACAATATCTAACACTTTGCCTTTAGTACGACCGCTGCTGTACGTGCAATCCCTAGTACTTGTTCGAACGGAAATTCACGGGATGTTCTAACGCTGTTCAACCATCGTCAAAATCTATTCTAGTGGCGGATTTTCTCGTCAAAACGTACGTTTTGGCACTGACATCTTCTGAATTTAAATTCTGAAAACAACCTGTAGAGGAGTAGGATTCAGCGTGGGCGTTGTCGCCTCTGTTATTCTGTTTAAAAGTTCGTGCAAGGCCAGTCTCTTATTGTACCGACTGACTCACAGAATTTTTATTCTTATCACCTAAACATTCCATTCCGATCTCAAAACTTGATCATTCACGTAAAACCTCAGGGCGCACATTTCCTATAGCCCTCGCTACTGGGTTTGGCGCTGGTGCAGCATACGCGGATTGTGATCGTTCATTCAACCCAGCCAGAGTACCTGGGACTCGAATCATTCCTGCGGAGGAAAGCAAGTAGTGTTGTGGCGGTGGTGTCGCGGCATGAGAGCGGGATACAGAAACACGATGGGTTGAACCGGGTATTCGAAGGAGACATTGTAGTTGGGAAAGGTCGCAAGACACAGTCACAGAATGGTCCAAACCTTTCACTAGACCATGCATAGACAGGCGCGTTGACAGTTGTACTCTACCTTCGCGGTACTCGAAAGAGCTGCAATATAGATTTTAGGTCTGAAACCGTCGAGCCAGGTCCAGAATACAGTATTTTAACTTTACAATTTGCTTCTAGATGATTCAGGTATTCTACTTTGAGAGAGCAGTTTACGCTCAGCCTCGCTAGGAAGAATATTCATATCGGGAACAAGAGATCCATCATAACCTTTGGTCTTGATCCAAGTTTCTAGTGTAAATCCAGTTGGGTGAACCTTTCTAATCCATTCCATATCCCTGGTCAAGATATTGTCCCG